AGACCGTGCAGGGATAAAGGAAGACCGTGCAGGGATAAAGGAAGACCACAGGGGAACAAGGTCAGGAGAACTGATCAGACAGACAGAGCTGACACGATGACCTGAAACCATTAATTATGACCTACTTCCTTCACTATTCCAGATCACAGTATTTTTTAAATTATGCATTCATGAGCTAGGAATATCATTGCCCACACCCTAATTGCCTTTGAGTCACTTCAGAGGGCAGTTAAGAGTGAACTGCATTGCTACGTGTAGCATATAAACCAAAGAGGACGACACCAGGTATCTATCTCTCAAAGAAACTTGTGAACCAGATGGATTTTTCCTACAATTTGGTAACTTCAGGGTCACTATTATGGAGACTAACTTTTTGTTCCAGGTTCACTGACGAATTGAGTTTAGATTCCCAAGCTGCAGTTGAAATTATGAAGTGGTGACAGTTTTATGGGATGTGGGCATCGCTTGCAATGGCAGCATTTATCACCCATCCCTAAATGCCTCCTTGAACTGTAGCAGTCAATATGATGTAGCAATACCCACAATGCTATTGGGGAGGAAGTTCCAGGATTTTGACCCAGCAACACCGAAGGGACAGCAACATATTTCTAAGCCAGGATGGTGACTGACTTGGAGGAGAGCTTGCAGATCCCATGGAAATGCCACCCTTGTCCTTCTAGCTGGTAGAGGCAGTGGGTCTGGAAGGTGCTGTCGATGGAACCTTGACAGTTGCTACAGTTTACTTTGTTGATGGTACACACAGCTGCCATTATGCGTCTGTGGAGAAGGAGGAGGTCCGTGTTTAACATTGACAATCAAGCAGCCTGCTTTGATTTGGACAGCATTAAGCTTCTCCATGTTGCATGCCACCACGCTCCTGAATGGTGCCTTATAGTTGGTGGGGAAATTTTGAGGAGTCAGGAGGGGAGTTACTCACCACAGAATTATAGTCTCTATCCTGCTTTCGAAGACACAGTATTTATACGACTGATCCAGTTCAGTTTCTGATCAATGATCAACTTTAAGAATGTTCAAGCGTGAGTTGATAGTGGGAGATTCAGCAACAGTACTTGCATTGAAAGTCGAGGGGAGATGGTCATTGGCTGGTAATTACATGGTCCAAACATTACTTGTCACTTGTCAGCCCAAACCACAATACTGTCCAGGTCTTGCTCCATTTGAACATGGACTGTTTCAAAATCTCACTCCAAGTGATATCAAGAAACAGCTGAAAGCACTGGATACTACTAGCCTGAGACCATCCTGGCAAAAGTATTGAAGGCACATGCTCCAGAACTTGGTGCTGTTGGCAAGTACAATTACAACAGTGGCATCACCCAACAACATGGAAAGTTGCTGAGGTATGTTTGTACACAAAAAGCAGGACAAATCCAACCCGGCTAATTACCACCCCATCAGTCTACTCTCCATCATGAGTAAAGTGGTGGAAGGTGCCATCAATGCTTTCAAGCAGCACCCGCTCAGCAATGACCTGCTCAGTGACACCCAGTTTGAGTTCCACCACGGTCACTCAGCTCCTGACCTCATTACAGCCTTGATTCAAACATGGACAAAACAGGTGAATTGCAGAAGTGAGGCAATAGTGAATGCCCTTGACATCAAGGCCAGATTCAACCAAGTGGAGCATCAAGGAGTCCTAGCACAAGTGCAGTCAATGGAAATCCAGGGAAATCTCTCTGCTGATTAGAGCACATAGGAATATGTTGTTGGAGGTCAGTCATCTCAGCTCCAGGACTTTAGGGTGGGGGTGCGGGTGCATGGAGATTCAGAAATTCAAAGAGAATGGACAAAGCATCAGAAAATTAGGGTGATATGGGTAAAGGTGAGGACAGTGGAAGAGGAAGGGACAAAAAGCTTAACAAAAATTCTACAGCCATGACTAAGTTCAATACAGGAAAGACAGGTTTTAAAAAAGGTTTCTTTTAATCTAAAGGGCAAATTGGCAAAAACACTCTGAAGATGAGTTTGCAGAACGTTTTGCTGACAATTTCTTGGAGAAATACATTATGGAAACGTCTAGGTATAAAGCTATCTTAGATTTAGTATTATGTAATGAGGCAGGGTTAATTAGCAATGTTGTATAATAAGATCTTTTGGGAAATAGAGCACTGAATTCCATGTGAAGTTTCAAAATCAAACAAGAATCTTAAACTTTAACAAAGGCAATTATATAGATATGAAAGGGTAACAGACCAGAGTCAATTTGGAAAACAGACTAAGATATGGCTGTAAATGAACTTGGGAAACGTTCAGAAATAATTCAAAATCTTCAACAAAATTATACCCCACTAAAAACAAAACCACAAAAGAACCCATTCCTGGTTTACTCAGGTCATTAAGCATAGTATTAGATTAAAATAAGACTTATAATATTGTGAAAAAAACATAAATCTGATGCAAAAACAGAAAATGCTGGAAAAGCTCAGCAGGTCTGGCAGCATCTGTAAAGAGAAATCAGAGTTAACATTTTGGGTCTGGTAACCCTTCCTCAAATTTGAGGATTCAGAGTGTTTCTGAAACCAAAAAAGGTCACCCAAAAAGGTGGGAAAATGTACAAGGAGACTAAACTAGCCAAAAATATAAAAATAGACTGTAGAAGCTTTTATTAGTATACAAAAAGGAAGCCAGTAGCTAAAGTACTAGCCTGGTGTCATAGAAGCAGAAACAACAGAAATTATCAGGGAGGATGAGGGAATAAGAGGGGCACTGACCAAATATTTTGTGCATCTTCTGCTGTGAGAGGCTAGTTTCATTCCTGAAACAGACAGCAGTCTAGGGGTAAAACAGTCAGGAAATGAAGATGTCAATTGAGAAAAAGTATTGGAGAAATGCAAGAGCCTAAAATCCAACAAATCACCAGGACATGGTGGCCAACACCAGAGTTCTAAGAGAGATAGCTGCAGAGTTAGTGGATCTACTGGTTAAGATTTTCCAAATTACCTTAAATTCATTAAAAGGCCCAGTAGATTGTAAATTGCCACATATTACCTTGCTTTTCAAGAAAGGAGGGAGAGAGAGAAATAGGGAACTACATGCTAGTTAGCCTAAGATCAACTGTCAAAATGCAGAAATCTATTAAGGAACTAACCAGGCACACATTAAAGCATTGTATGATTAAAACAAGGCAACATGGTTCTACTGAAGGAAAACCCAGTTTGACAAAAGTAAACTTTTAAAACATGCAATTAATAAGGTTGATAAAGGGGAACCAGTAGATGTAGTCTAGCTAACTTTCCAAAATATATTTGATAAGGTGACACACAAAAGGTTAATGGGCAAGGGCGCAAGGAGGTGGGGGTAATATATTGAGCATGGGTAGTGGATTGGTTAATGAAAGCTAGAAGTAGGTATAAATGGAACATTTTCAAATTGAGAGGCTGTTAGGAAGTGCTACAAGGGCCAGTGCTGGTGCCTCAGCTATTCAAAACCCGCATTAATGACTTGAGTAGAAAAGGGGTGAGTAATGTATTTACGTTTGCTGACAATACAAAGCTTGGTGGAAAAGCAAGCTGTGGAAGAGGATACAAACAGGCTGCAAACAGGTGTAGATATGTCAAAGTGAGTGGACAACAAGATGACATATGGATTATAATGTAGGGAAGTGTGAAATTATTTGTTTTGTCTTAAGAGTACATATGCAATTTTTTTTTAAATATAAAAGATGTGAAACTTGTAAATAAAGCTCAAAGAGACTTGAATGTGCTTGTTCAAGCTAAATAGAACATTAACATCCAAGCACTTAAGAAGGAAAATAACATATTGGCCTCTACACAAAGGCAATTTTTTTCCCAGCGTTACAATTGCAAGACCACATTTGGAATACTGTCTGCGGTTTTGATTTTCACTTTTAAGAAAAGATACACTTGCATTTGAGACACTACAGTAAAAGTGCACTCAATTAGTCCCTGGGATGAGGGAGTGGTCCTATCATGAGATCTGAGCAAATTGGGTCTATATTCTCTAGAGTTTACAAGATAGCAGATCTCATTGAATCATACCTGATTTTGAAGGTGCCTGACAGACTAAACATAGATCATTTTCACTGGTCATAGAGTTATAAAGTCATTTAGCATGAAAACAGACCCTTTGGTCCAACCAGTCCATACCGAACATAATCCCGAACTGAACTAGTCCTACCTGCCTGCTCCTGGCCCATATCCCTCCAAACCTTGCCTACTCATGTACTTATCCAAATGTCTTTTAAATGTGTAATTGTAGCAATATCCACCACTTCCTCTATATTTTAAAAAACAAAACTCTCTCCTCTCTCCTTAATGTACAAGAATCTAAAACTGTCTCAAATTGCAGGAATGATCATTTTGGATTTAGAGGACAATAAATTCCTTCAGCCAGAGTTGTGAATCCTTGAAATTCTCTGCCCCAGAAGGTTACAGAGTCTCCATCACTGAATACATTTGATACATAAGGTCAAGTACAATTCTGGTGCTGCCACTGATAGTCCATGCCTATGGATTACTAGCCCCGTAACAATATCACCAAGTTACTGTCCCCACTCACTCCCTGAAAAGCAGGGAGAACCTCAGTTTTGAATGGCAATATGGGCAGTGTCGGGAGAAGAATAACTGTTACTCAGGACATCAGATTGGGCCAGATAAAGCCTCCATGGCAAGCAGTGACAAGGGAGTGATGCATCATTTACTCTGACCTACCTAATTTCAAATAAGGCATTGTTGGACCCACATCAGGAGAGCTGCCCGGCATCTGCTTCTTGGCATCTACTGCAGCTTAAAGCTCAAACACATCAGGCCAACACCCAAATTCTTCTCCCGTTTGCATTCTCACGTGAAAATGTGACGAGAGTGCCTGGCATCTGTGTGACAGCATCGTAAAACCAGGAATTTGCTATTTGGTGGGAGCACAGGACCAGAGAGGCAGAGGTTCCTGCTTTGCGGCATTAATTTATCACCTCTTTGAAAGACAGCGCTCTGACAGTGCAGTGCTACTCTCAGTAGTGCTCCAGGGGTGAGTTCCAGTCTGGAATTAGGACAAGCGTTTCTGGAGTGGGGCCCAACTGCATGACTTTCCAACCAGGCGGAAGCCATGCAAATTCAAAAATCAGGCTAGGCTGCCTACCACAGTCTGATGAGTGTGACTGTAGCCCACAAGCAAAAGAAAAACCACATACAAAAGCTGTGAGATCACTGTACCTCATGTAGGGCATCTGACTGCTCTGGGTTGCACTGGCTGAGTTTATAGTCGGAGGCAGGGACCTCAGCGGACCAATCTGTTCAGGTCCTAAACTGTAGCCCTGGCTGGCTGTCACCTGCGACATGCCCGCTGGCATATACGTCCCACTCTGGGTCTGTCCTGGATACACCTATGGAAAACAAAAAAGGCAGCAACATTACCAACACTTGCAGAAGCCAAAAGTACCACATAATTCAGAAAATAGAAGCACGTGAAAGAGATGGTGGTAACATGGGAATGGAATTAGCTAAAGAATAGAAAATGGACCACAGCAGCAGACTGGTTGGAAGTGGAGTTCCTAAAGGGTCAGTATTAGGACAACAAGGTGCAGGGCTAGATGAACACAGCAGGCCAAGCAGCATCATAGGAGCAGAGAGGCTGACGTTTCGGGCCTAGACCCTTCATCAGAAAAGGGGGAGGGGAAGGGGGTTTTGAAATAAATAGGGAGAGAGTGGGAGGCGGATAGAAGAGGGATAGAGGAGAGGATAGGTGGAGAGGAAACAAACAGGTCGAAGAGGCGGGGATGGAGCCAGGAAAGGTGAGTGTAGGTAGGGAGTTAGGAAGGGGATAGGTCAGTCCAGGGAGGACGGACAGGTCAAGGGGGCGGGATGAGGTTGGTCGGTAGGAGATGGAGGTGCGGCTTGAGGTGGGAGGAGGGGATAGGTGGGAGGAAGAACAGGTTAGGGAGGCAGGGACGAGCTGGACTGGTTTTGGGATGCGGTGGGGGGAGGGGAGATTTTGAAACTTGTGAAATCCACATTGATACCATTGGGCTGCAGGGTTCCCAAGCGGAATATGAGTTGCTGTTCCTGCAACCTTCGGGTGGCATCGTTGTGGCACTGCAGGAGGCCCAGGATGGACATGTCGTCTGAGGAATGGGAGGGGGAGTTGAAATGGTTCGCGACTGGGAGGTGCAGTTGTTTGTTGCGAACCGAGCGTAGGTGTTCTGCAAAGCGGTCCCCGAGTCTCCG